TGCTCTTACAGAAGACTAGGCCTCAGAGCCCAGCACCCACATCAAATGGCCAAAACTACCTTGACACTTCAGCTCTGGGGACTCTAACACCCTCTTCTGACCGCCTCAGGCACTGTACTCATGAGGGAGGAACTTCACAGAGACACACATCGCTTTTAAAATTAATTAAATAAAAACCTGACCTCTCCTAGAATGTTCGATGGTGCAAATCGTCGGGTCCCACCGCACACATTCTTGCTAAGAAAGAACTACCTAGAAGGGCTCACTTATTCCACCAACCAACCGGGGAGCCCAGCGAGAGGGCCTGTACCACAGTGGCTCCTCCTGTGTAGACAGGCGCTGCAATTCCAAAGTCTAACTAATAGTGAGTGGTATGACAGATGCAAATCACTTTCAAGCAACATAGTGAGCGTGGGGTTCCCGTCAGCTCGTCCCCGGGAACCTGTCAGAAGATGGAGGCATATTTCAATCAAGCTGATCACCTTATCAAGTACTAAAGTCCAGGAATCAAGGCAGAGGACAGTAAAGTAACACTAAGGTACCAGGAAGAGTGGCTTACCTTACTGGAAGGTAAGGGCACAAAGTTCATAAAATCTGGTCATATCATACAGTTCATACATTCGAGGCTATCTCCAACTAACTCTCTTTTTCTATGTTAGTGTACAGATGTCCACTGTGTGTTCATGTGGATACACACGTATGCATACGGAGGCCAGAAGACACAGTCTCAGGTGTCATTCTTAGAAACTGTCTGCCTTGCGTTTTGACACAAGTGTCTCTCACTAGTGTTGAGCTCAACTACCGAGCTGAACTGATTGGCCAGAGAGCCCCAGGAATCCACTTATGTCTTCTACCTCAGTGCCAGAATGACCCAGAATGACCCAGAATAACCATCTGAGGCCGCCACGCATGGATGGAACACAAGTTGCACTTTACCGATTGGGGTCATCTACCCATTCCTGATTCTTAAGAAAGATGAAATGAGAAATGAGAAGAAAGAAAAGAAAGAAGATGAGAGGAAACAGAGAGACAGAAAGAAGACAGGACTGAGCTGGAGAAAGGGGTTGGTTTAAAGTCCCCTGACTACACGCAGCACGGCCTAACATGGCAATCCGGGCCATTTATATTGTGGTAGTTACTCTGACATCCCCAGTTATTCAGTGTTCACTTCCGGTTTGGCACAACACTCCCTCTAGTGAATTCACTTCTGCTCTTGAATGTCCTGATGTGCCGTTCATCTAGAGACAGAGGACGGCCTAGAAAGGAGCCGCCGGCCTCCAGGCCTCTCAGGCTGGAAGTGTGCATGCATCACTTTCCACTGCTTGACATCACAGCCAAGGCAACGTAAGGAAGACTGACACAGAGGAGGCTAAGAATCCATCGTGACAGGGAGGCAAGCTGGCAGGAGCAGGCATGGTGGGAGATGGGGACCCCGAGAGACCATATGTTCAACTGTAAGCACAAAACAGTGAAGGAACCGGATGAGGTGGGACACAGAGCCCACCCCTAGTGACACATTTCCTCCAGCAAGGCCGCACCTCCTAAACTTCCCCAAACAGCACCACCAACTGGGAACCAGTGTGCAAATGCCTGAACCTCCAGGGGACAGCAGTTGTGCAAACTACACAGTATACTTACTAAACTGGACAGCTTTCAGGGTGTCTGGAAAGGCAGGGTGCATTTTCCTTAAGCACTTCTCAATTCAGACATCGAGTTAAAGCACCTTCATATCAAAGCAAGAAGAGTCCTGGCTGCGTGCAATGGCTCAGGCCTGTGATCCCTGCAGTGGGGAGGCTGAGGCCGGAGTACCTTGAGCCTAAGAGTTGACAACTAGTTTAGAGAAACATAATGACACTCTCAAATAGCAAGGAGGACAAATCCACACAGTGTGGTGGTGCATGCCTGTATCCCAGCCCTTGGGAAGTGGAGGCAGAGAGACTAGGAGTTCAAGATTGGCTGTGGCTCCACAGCAAGTCTTCTGTCAGCCTGAAGTGCAGGAGACCCTCCTCACCCCTCATACCCACCAAAAACACCAGTTCTACTTTCTGGTCTTCATCACAGTAATCATTAACTCAGAAAAGCCTCAGAGGCCACGGCTAAGCTCCCAGCCCCTATGCCAGCTTCCTGAGCCTCACGGCCACAGAAATGAATTAAAAGCATCAAGATAAGCCACTTTGCAGTGTGACACTGCTTATAGCCTGCAGCCACCTGAGAAGCCACTGCCCCAAGAAGTCGGGGGCGGGGGTGGGGGGCACTCGATAAGTTCTTAGAAAGGTGCAGTGTTTAGGACAGGTGGCCCGGGAGCTGTCCGGTTGGCCCAAAGCCTAGACAAGGATTCTGAGATCTGCCAATCCTCCATCTCACCTGGTCTCTGGTGCACTTAGCAGCAGCACCCTAAGTAAGCAAGCTTCCTCACACAGCCACACAGAAAACAAAGCCTGGCCTGAGGCAGCTCAGCACCACCAAGTCTCTTCCGAGCTGCCTAGACCTTCAGAGAAACGTGCTGGCGCTCACGTATGCCGCATGCTTAGATGGACCTTTTCAAGGCTGAAAGTGACCCCCACTTGGGTACCTCCCCCCAAGAGGGCAAGCTGGATCGAGGAGCATTGTTCAGAAAGAAAGAAAACAGAGGTGGAGCTAGAACACTCATTCATCCCTGCACCTCCCACCCAGCAGAGCTAACCCCAGACTGCTAAGCAAAGTTGAAGACCCATGCGGCCTTCCCAGTGGAGACCCATCTTCTAGTGTCTCTGAAAAAGAGCATCCTTTGCCCCTCCCCCAAGCCACAGAGAAGAAAGCAGATGGGGTCCATTTCCAAATGCACGGGGCATAGGCTCAGTCTGGAGAGGCCGGTCACTGTGATGTACTCGAGTTTGTCAAGCTTGTAGGGCAGAGACCAAAGTGTGCTTCAAAGGCCTGAGTGTGGAGGGCTCCATCTGAGGAGCCCTCAAGAAGGCAGGAGGGAAGACTCCACTCCACGGAACTGACCTCTGACCTCTATATAGTGTCATACGCACAGTAATAAGTGAAATAAAACGCAAAAGGCCTGATTGTGTCTACAACCTGAATTGAGTTTAAAAGAGTGCCTCACCCTTCAAGACTTGCATTCTTGAACAGAAGGGGAGAAAAAGTCCTCCCCTGGTAGGAAAGGTGGCCACCTGCCCGCTCACCCATTGTCTTATCAGATGCTTGGAGTCACTCAACAATTAGGCATTTATAAAGCACCCAAGCCTAGAGGAGCCAGAGGCCTGCTCTGCACCTGGGGAACAGGAGGTCAAGGTCAGGGAGCTCAGGTGGCTCACGCCAAAACCATCTAGCAATGCAGAGGACTCCGGGTGTGTAAGACCAGAGGTAACCTCAGACTGGCGAGAAAGAAGTCTTCATTCAACGGCTCACCAAACGACGCTGCCATTTGGAAACCGAAAGTTTGAAACCCCTTTCGTTGTAAATCATGAGCCACGTCACTCTCAAAGCCCACAATACCTGACTTGACACACAGTATAAACTTATAAAAGTTATAATTACTATATCTTAATTACTCCCACCAGGACTTTTCAAAAGTTACAACACTACAAGCACAGTCAGCCCTGAAAACCTCCAAAGACCTGTAAACTTTCATAGAAAACAAACTAAAGAACAAAACCACCAACTCTTTATTCCTTCCATCGGTCCAGTTGAGTCTGGGGGACCAGGATACAGGGGACAGGCAGGTAAGACTGTCTAAGTTAGGGGCAAGGTCACACAGCCTGCAGAGGCTATGAATCTCAGCTTTCCTACTCCAAGACCAGCGTCCTTACCTCAGGAGGGTGGAGACACCGTCCAAGGGGAGAGCTCAGCGCTGTGCAGGAAATCAGACCCCAACGGTCCCCGGGGCATCAAACAGGAAATGGGCCTGGTGCCTTGCCAAGCGGCTAACAGCAACCCAGCCCTTAGCAAACCTGCTATGCCTCGACCTGGGCGTTGTAAGTCAGTTTAGCATCCCCTGGGCCCAGGTCTGATCTGCAGCTGCTTCTCCACTTGCCTGGGCTTCTCTGTGAGCAAGCTGGAGACAGAGGTCACAGACGCTACAGTCTTTAGTGAGAGACCAAAGGGGAAGGCAGCTGTCTGTCAGCCAGGTCCACCTCCACCTGTCATCTCCACCCCAACAGGGAGACCGCCCCACTGCACCCATGCACGCCCGTACACACACACACACACACACACACACACACACACAAACTACTCAGGGGCGCTGGAGGCTGCTCAGAGCTCAAGCTGCCCCCCTTCCTCTTGGCCGTTCTGGTAGTTAGAAATTGGAAAGGACCCTATGCCTAGCCTGTTTCCTTACAGCTTCCTTCCACCTTTCCCAGAACAGAAAGATCATGCATGAAAGAATATGGGTCCTGGCTACCCACTACAGACAGTAGGGTCGATGCTTACACAGAGTTTCAAAGTTTGTGAAGCAAATCGGGAAACAAAAAACCCCCAGAGGCCTCAGCATCCATTCTTCCTGCTCAAAGTGGGCAGTAAAAGTCCGCTTCTAAAGCTGAGGCTTAAGAGGCTGGGGGAGCGCCCAGCCCCTATCCCCCAGCCGGGAAACTTTAAAATCTCCCCTTAACAAAAACAAAAATTTTGTTTGTCGTGACATTTGCTTTTTATCCTCAAGAGGCTGACCTTGGAAACGACACAGAATTGTACAAGAGAAGGAAAAGAAGTGATCCAAACTGAACTCCTTCACTCTAAGGATGGAAAGAGGGGTCCCTAGGCGCACGACATCATTTACACGAAGTTCGAGCAGCGAGTGGGAATGTGGGTGCTGCGCGCGCTCGGGCCCCGGGGCTCTCTGAAGGTCGCCGGACTGTCACCTAGGCTGCCGGGGCCCAGAATTGGAGCACACGCGGCGCGGCGGGACATTGGCCTTAGGGCACCTTCCTTGGTGTCCCCGGACCTGCAGGTGCCAACTGGGAGCAGCCGGGCCGTGGCCCCTCCCCAGCCGCAGGCCGGGAGCTCGGGCGACTTACCCGCAGGAGGCACCGGGCGGGGGTGGCGGGCGCGGTCCCGGGGCCGGTGTCGCGCTGCTCCGCCTCGTTGTCGGCCCGGCCCCGGCCGCCAGTGGCTCGCGTTCCCGGGACTACGGGGCTCGGCGTGGGCGGGTGCCCGGCGATCGGGGACGCTCCGGGGCTCTGCACGCGCGTGTCACGGGCCGGGGGCGCGCGGGGGTGGGGGCCGAGTGGGCCCCGGGGTGGCAGGCGGGGGCGCGGCCGGGGACGGGGATGGGGCCGGGGACCGTGTCGCGGGCGCCGCAGCGCGGCCTCTCGCCATGGCTCCCCGCGGCCGGGCCTCGCGCCTCCCCTCGCGCTGCCGTCACCGCCCGACGCGCGCCGGGCCCTCCCCGTCCGTCCCCCCCCCGCCCTCCCCGCCCGGCCGCCACCTGCGCGACAGTCCTCACGAGCGACCGTCCTGGGTCCCTGTAGCGAGAAGCTCCGGGACCCCCAAAGCGCTGGCCCACTCGGGACCCCGGGGCATGCGTCTGGGCCCGCGCACGGGGGCTGCTTGGGGACTCCATTGCTAGCGCCGTGATCCTGGGGAGTCAGCCTTGGAGTCAAGCACAGAGTTATCGACGCAGGGGCCATGGGCCAGCCAGGAGGGCAATTCCACCAAATGAGGAGTTGGTGGGGGTGGCAGAAAGGACAAAGAAACCCTCCGGCAAGCAAATAACACGGAGACCGGTTAATGTGGCCTAACCTACGCGGTCTGCCCACAAGTCACGGGACACTGAACCGACCTGGAGATGACTCCAACCTGAACCGAAGATGCGGAGGAAATAAAACTCTCCAGACCCTCCAAGTTTCAGGGCTAAATAGGAACTGAATAGGAAAACTGTTCACACAAAATCTTCACTGAATGCTCACTGGGAGTGTGGGGGCACTGGTCACTAGCTAGCCCATTTCTCCACAGACTTTCTCTCCATAGAATGTGTTGGGGGGGAGGGGGTTAAAAAAAAAGCACAGTTTGGGGACACTGACCTCTGGTGAGAGGTGAGCATCGGTCTCAGAAGCCCTCTCTACCTTTTATTCCCAGGAGACTGAAGTTTCAGTAAACCCTTTATGAGCTACATTTATTAAAGGGGGGATAAGCTGTGTCCCAAAAATTCCCATGCCATAAAAAACAAACAGGAAATGTAAAGATTTGAGACCTGTCAGGAATGGGAGGGCTGAGTGATTGTAGCTAAACCGTATGCCTGTGCTGCACTGGGGGGTGTACAGAACATTCCAGCTGACCAGACTGAAGTCTGCACTGTACAGTCTAAAATACTGGATCAATGTTAGATTTACCATGTGCACAGACAAGGCTGTTGTTGTTAGGACTTAAGAGGCAAAAGGCTGCCAAGGCAATCTATCTGTAGGTGATTTGGGAAGGAAGAGACATTCTGATAGGAGGGAGGGAGGAGCTGAACGAGCCAAACGTTATCAATGAGTCTCAGTATCCAGTTCTAGAGTATCCTCTTTCTCTTTTCTTTTCCTTTCTTTCTTCTTTCTTTCCTTTTCTCTCTCTCTCTCTTCCTTCCTTCCTTCCTTCCTTCCTTCCTTCCTTCCTTCCCCTCTCTCTCTCTCTCTCTCTCTCTCTCTCTTTCTTTCTTTCTTTCTTTCTTTCTTTCTTGTTTGTGAGTACACTGTAGCTGTCTTCAGACACACCAGAAGAGGCATTGGGTCCCATTGCAAATGATTGTGAGCCACCATGTGGTTGCTGGGAATTGAATTCAGGACCTCCGGAAGAGCGAGCAGTCAGTGCTCTTAACTGCTGAGCCATCTCTCCAGTCCCTAGGGTATCTTTTATAGGTTTGAAGTTCTTTCTAAATAGAAGGGTTTTCCAAAAACATCAAATAAGAGCTGAGGCCAAGTGGACAGTGTGTGTGTGTGTATGTATGTGCTGTGTGTGCACACGTGTGTACATGTGTGTGCATGTCTGTGTGCTCGTGCTTGTGCATGTGTGTGCACATGTGCACGTGTGGGTGCACGTGTGTGGAGAATGCCCATTGTATGTATGTGTACATATCTGGGCGTGTGCTCACGTCCCCATTGGGAGGCCAGAAGTTGACATTAGGAGTCTTCTGTTGCTCTCCACCTTACTCTTTCTGTCTTCCTGAGAATTTTACACATGTAAACAATGAAATATGGTTGTCCTCATTTCACACTTCTAACTCCTGACATGGCCACCCAACACATTCTCCTCATGACCTCATGTCTTTCCCCCCAATAACCCAGTAAATTCATCAGTGCTGCAGTAAGTATGTGTCTGGGGGTGGAGCATCTGCTGGACCATGAGACCCTCAAAAAAGGACCATTTGCCCTTCCCCAGCAGCTATTAACTGCCTGAGGCTCCTCCAGAAGGGGTGGAGCCTGGAGCCTGGAGCTAATCTGTCCCATTTCTGCCCACTTCTGTCCAGCTTGATCTTGTGCAGGCGACCAGAGCCGCTGTGAGTCCCTGTGAGTGACAGTCATGTCATGTGCAGAAGACAGCCCCCTCCCCATCCTCCGGCTCTCACATTCTTTCTGCCCCCTCTTCTGTGATGTTTCCTGAGCCATGGAGGGTGGGGTCTCTCACTGGACCTAGAACTCACTGAGGAGGCTAGACTGGCTAGCCAGCAAGCCTTCAGAATGAGCCCGTCTCTGCTGTCCCCTGCCTCCCGCACGGTTATGACAGTCATATGCCATCATGGCTCACATTTTAGTGAGTGCTGGGGGTCTGAGCTCAGGCTATATGTTTACGTAGTCTACACTTGGCCACAGAGAATCACCTCCCAGCCCAGTTTTGGGGTTGAGAGGTTGGTTGGGGGTTTTTGGGTTTTTAGAGACCATCTCATAGAGCCCAAGCTGGCCTTGAAGTGGTCGTTCTGCCTCTACTTCCCAAGTGCTGGAATTACAGATGTGTACCACGGTGGCAGGTAGTAAAACATTATTTCTTATGATAGAATGTAAATGTGCAATTATATCAATGGAATTTCAGTCACACAGATTAAATCATCAGATATATGCCAGGTCTGATAGAAGGGACTGTGGCAGGCTGGCAGGATCTAGAACAAGCAATATGAAAGTCATCAGCGTCAGAACCCAGCTTTCAGTAGGAACGGCCCTGCATACAACCTGAGGTCTTAGAGGGGCAGGGACAGATTGTCTGAGGTAAAACTGGCAGATCCAACGCCATCTGGTTCTGGAATTTGAGAACTGAGATCTGGCCCAACCCATCTCCTTTCTCTTGGTACATGATCACTGTTTGAGGTGTGGAACCAGGGTCCCCCCCTGGTTTTTCCCCACTGCCATCCTCAGCCATTCCTGACTCCCCCTTCACTGTAGGATGACTCTGTCAGGAATCCCACAGCCACCATTGGGATCCAGAGTAGTGCCTTGCTCGACCCTCATCAGAGGAGGTTTGTCTTGCAGTGGATGGGAACTAACACGGAGACCATAGCTGGACAGTGTGCAGAGAGCAAGAGAGTTCAGAGCACTCAGTCCTAAGTGGGATTTCTATATCGCACCCTCTCCTCAAGGCTCAAGGGTTTCTGTGAGAGAGAAGGGTGAGAGACTGTAAGAGCCAGCGTGATGAATGACTCTGAGGAAAGGTGTTTTCCAGACACAATGGGACTGGTGTACATACAGTTGAGCTCACGGAGACCATGGCAGCAAGCACAAGATCTGCACAGGCTCAAGCCTGACACAGTCCCAGCACCCAGAGAGGGAAGCAAACGTAGGCTTCCGAATCTAATCAAGAAGCTATCTGTAGTCGGTACCTGCTGGCAAAGGAAAAACCAGTTTTCTCATCTGGCATGTCAGTGGGTATATCAACCACACCCCAGGGCAGGCTTCTTGTTCAATAGCAGTTAGCCAACACAAACCTGACTCTGCATGTGTGCACACACGAGTATGTGTGTCTGTGTTAGTGTGTGTGCATGTGTGTGTGTGCGGTATGTGTGTGTGGGGGGTTGGTTTAAGACAAAAAGAGAATATGAAATTGGGTTAGTGGAAAGAAGGAGCTTGGAGGAGTCCAAGGGGAGAATGTGACCAAAATATACAAAAAGAAAATAGACCCTAGATTTAAGAGAGCACAGCTGGACGGGTAGAGGTGTTCTTTTGGCCACCCCTGGTGTGTACGTACCTTCTGACCACGGACATGTGTGGCTGAGGGTAACCTTGAACGTGGCCAATATAAAGTCACCACTTTAAGGCATCTTTACAATTTTTTCTTTTTGAGACAGGGTTTCCCTGTATAGCCCGGGCTGTCCTGGAACTCACTCTGTAGATCAGGCTAGCCTTGAACTCAGAAATCTGCCTGTCTCTGCCTCCCAAATGCTGGGATTAAAGGTGTGCGCCACCACCACCTGGCTTACAATTTTTTTCAGTTTAATTTTTTTTTTTGTAAGTTGACTGTGCTAGACCACAAACTTTGTAGATGACAACATCATGTCACAAGTCTGGACACCTCTCATTTGCAGGAAACTGCGGGCAGAAAAGTGGCATAGAACCACAGAAGCATCAAATTAGTGGTCAGCCCGTAACTGCAGCTGTCCTATGTTCCTGCATTTTTACCAGCTGTCTGAGACTCGGTTCCTACCGCCATGAGATGCCAAACTGGGACATATCCATGAGGTCAGTCACTCAGTCCTGGTCATTGTCTGCAGCCTTGTTCTACAGGCAAGGCCCTGACATCTGGTTCCTGATGCCAAAGTACACACAAGGATCCTGCTCCTGTTGGGAAGGAGCTGGCTTCCTTTTCCCAGTATGGAGGAAGCAGGTGGCAGGTAGAGCTTCTCAGTGAGAGCCTAAGGCATTGTCCTGCTGGCACAAGCTGAGGGCACAGAGACTGGAGAGAAATGGTGATTGCTCTGGCAGCAATCTGTTCAGCTTTGCAGAACACTGGGCAGAGGTCTCTGGCTTCCACTGGGCCAAGAGAGCTACTGTTTGCTTCCCTTTTGTTGAATCAAATGAGCTAACCCATTTGGGCTGGTTCAGGCCCTCACCCTTAATCCCAGCACTCGGGAGGCAGAGGCAAGAGGATCTTTGTGAGTTGGAGACCCCTTGCTCTTTATATAGTTCTGGGCCAGCCAGGAACTTCAAGGTCATTAAGGTGGCTGTCAGATGCCAAAATATTGGACAGCAGTGCCAGAGGCAGGGCACGGGAGGGGAATGTCAAGCAGATCCCTCTGGGTGTATGTATATATCTATCTATAATCTATCAATCTATCTATCTATCTATCTATCTATCTATCTATCTATAAAGAGAGAAAGAGAGAGGCACAGGTACACATATACACACAAATGTGTACACATATATACACACACAGATACATATGCATGTATATGTACATATATATATATACATACATAGACACACACAGGCACAGGCAAACACATATACATACATATACAAACATACACACACAGAGAAACATACAGATACATGTACACACGCATACATACAGACATGCAAACATTCATACACACATGCACACATACATATATACACACAGACACACACATACACACACACACAGACATACACGTATGTACACACAGATATATTCATTTAGATAGACACACAGGCACAATAAACAAACAAACTTTTTTAAAGTTAAAAATGTGCAGTCAAAGCCGGGCGGTGGTGGTGCACGCCTTTAATCCCAGCACTTGGTAGGCAGAGGCAGGCGGATTTCTGAGTTTGAGGCTGGCCTGGTCTACAGAGTGAGTTCCAGGACAGCCAGGATTATACAGGGAAATCCTGTCTCAAAAAACCACAAAAAAAAAAAAAAAAAAAAAGTGCAGTCAAATGCTTCAGCGGCTTAAAGCACTTGTTGTTCTTCCAGAAGACTTAGGTTTGATTCCCAGGTCCTACGCAGGCTCACAACAATCTGTGACTCCAGGCCAGGGCATCCAACACCCTTCTAGACCCTGAAGGAAGGGACTGCATGCATATTATGCACAAACCTATCTGCAGGCAAAACATTCATACACATAAAACAAGTAAATGTAAAAAAAGTCATTTTTGTTTGTTTGTCTTTAACAAAACCTCCAAGGTTCTATAAGAAGAAATAGTTGGTGGCAAAAGGAGACTCTTCGGTGGAATTGTCTGCACGTTGGACTAGATTACAGGGATACAGACTTTGTGAGTCCACACCCAGGCTAAGGTAGGTATTTCAGTGATGCAGTTGCCTTTAGTGACTTACTCTCCTGTAAGTGACCCCATTAAAAATTCACTGGTTTTGCAAGTTAGATCCTTTGTCTTCTGTGTCCTGTCTTCCGGGTCCTGTCTTTTGGGTCCTGTCTTCTGTGTCCTGTCTCAAGTGAGCTGATGTTTGCTCACATCTCCCCAGGAGATCATCCAACAGCTGTCTGAATGATAGCCCCAGCAGGTACAGTCCTGCCTCTTATGGGCCTTTCACTCCTGAAGAGGAAGTAGATAATATGATACACACAGGCCTAGCCTACTATTGGTTTGGGAAATGGGCCATGAAGTGGATGCAGGCTCTCTAAGTGGGACTATCAGGATGTATGATGAATTAGTTGGATGGGAGGCTCTATTTAAGGAGCTAATACTTACGTGGAGATGCAGAAGCACCAGCCTTGTAGGTGGGGGTGAACATCAGACCCACCAAAACGCTTCTCAATGGCTGGAAGTGGGACTAGGTTTCAGAAAGGGCCTTGGGGTGTGGAGAAAGAGTGAAGAGCTTTAGGTTAGGAACTGACATGCTGTTGGACAGGTTTATCCTCAGACGATCTGCAGCTATCTGTGCCGCTTACTAGAGATCATCACAGCTGGGCGTGTTGAGTAGAAAGACCTTCTCCTGAGTTGTAGGTAATTCTGTCCTGATTGCACATGGCCTCGGGCTCTCAGGGAGAGGCTGGAGGACACAGGCTGGGAAGACTAGGAGAGCCATAAACACAGCCATGGTAAGCCTTCACCCGTGAGGGGTGGCTCCTTTAAGGTCATTTCCACTCCTGGTAGTAACCCCTACTCATGGTCTGTAAGTAATCCTGGTAAACTCACTTGGTTCCCAGTGTAAACTTTGATTGAATTAATTTTGTTTTGACATCAGGAGAGCAGATGATGTCTAACCACTTCTCTCTGGGGAGAACATTCTGGAAACGTATCTGTGTAGTCACAGGGATGTGATGAAACAGGTGAATTTAGGGAGCCTTGACGTTGTTCCTGCTAGGCATAGTGGGACAGACAGCCGGAGGTATGAACATGAGGGTGGAGCATCTGCAGAGAAAACTGCCACATGGTTGTCCCTCTCTTCCAGTAGTGGGAAGCTGAGATGGCTGTCCAGAGGATAATAGTGAGTTTAAGGGTGTGTGTGTGGGGGGGGGGGGAATTTCAGCAAGAGAGATGGGAATGTCCATGTTAGCCAGTGAGCAGAGAGAAAATTTGGACAAATGGAGGAAGAGGCAGAGGTGTTGACTTGCAACATCATACCGCTGGAGGGCCAGAGGAAAGAGAAAGAGCACCTATGGGAACCTTCTGGGAAGCCTTAGATGGTAGGGGAAGGAGATGCAAGGTAAAGGTGGTCGTGAGAGCACTGGAGAAGAGGTGACATATGTGCGTCTGCCATGAGTCAAGGTTGGATGAGCTGACCAGAGGGCAGAAAAAGCCGAGGCTGGGAAAAGGACAGAGTTGTAGAGGAGCCTGCCTGAGCCTGATGCTATTGAGGAAGCAGAGTGTTTGGGGTGGAAACCCCAACAGCTGTTCCCCTAACGTGGCAGCCGGGGCACTTGCGGGGTAACTAGATACCCCACATTAAACGATAAACTCACTGGTTCTCTAAACATTCAGGTTTGTGTGGACTCTGGGACCAAGTGAGTGCTCTGTTCTCCACTCCAGTCTACACAGGAGCGAATGGTCATAGAAGGCAGAGACAGGGGGATGCAGCTGGTGGGAGAGTGCTTGCCTGGCATACACGGAGCCTGGCATACATGGAGCTCGACCTTTGGTCCCTCGAATCAAGTAAAATCCGAGCATGGTGCCTCATACCTGCAGCCTCCGCACTTGGCAGGTAGGAACAGGATGGTTGGCTATACAGCAAGTGAGAGATCAGCGTGAGCTATGTAAGATTCTGGCGGAGGGAGGGAGGAAGGGAGGGAGGGACGGACAGAAATGTGAAAGAAAGCACATGTGACGTGATCAATACACAGAGGGCAGAATAGATTCGGTGTTCGGCTAACATGCCCACCATAAGTTTTATTTTCATATATATATATGTGTGTGTGTGTGTGTGTGTGTGTGTGTGTGTGTGTGTGTGTGGTTTTGCCTGCATGCATGTCTGTGTACCCACATGTGTGCAATGCCCATGGAGGTGAGAAGAGGTTAGAGGTTATTAGATCCTCTGGCACCTGAGTCACAGACAGTAGTGAGCCACCATCTGGGTGCTAGGAATCGAACTCAGGTCCTCTGAAAGAGTGGCCAGTGTCTTAAAGGCTGACTTATTTCTTTAACCCCTGGCAATGCTTTATAAAAGAAAAACATGTCCTGGGCATGGTAACACATACCTTTAATACCAGCACTTGGAGTGGAAGATAGATGGAAGCATATTTCTGTGAGTTCAAGGCCAGCCTGATCTACATAGTGAGCTACCCAGGTGAGCCAGAACTACATAGTAAGGCTGCCTTTTTTTTTTTTTAAGAATTATTTGTTTATTTTATGTATATGAGTACACTGTAGCTGTCCTCAGACACAACAGAAGAGGGCATCAGATCTCATTACAGATAGTTGTAAGCCACCATGTGGTTGCTGGGAATTGAACTCAGGACTTCTAGAAGTGTGGTCAGTGCTCTTAACCACTGAGCCATCTCTCCAGCCTGAGGCTGTCTTTAGAAAAAAAAAATATTGGTCCAAATGGTAAGGTCGCAGTTTTACAATGGTGCATGAGGATATAGGGTTGTCAAGTAGCACTGGGAGCTGGGAGCCTCATCCCAAGGGAAGACATTGTTATTTATATATGACCGGGGAGGGACACACATCATCACACCATGCTACCATGTTACAAGTGATTATCTGTTGATCAGAGCTGGGGAAAACCTATGGAGGCAGACACTGCTGGGACTCTGCTCCTGTCCCCTCTCCAGCCTTGTGGCACCACCTGTCCTTTGTCCTTGTCCTTTATCTAATAAAACCTGCTCTGTTCCATCAGTAGCTGGTTGTTCTGGGAAACAGAAGGTTCTGTTCTAGAAATTTCCACCCCATGTTCCCTTGGGCAATATGGGATATGCACAGACTCCTGGACTGCCTTCGTTGGTTAGGCGTCTATGTGACTTGTTTTTGGGCTGATAAAACACCCTTAACTGGTAACCTTTCTCTCCCCTCAAAATGATTTCCTGCCCAGCTTACCATCATTCACCAATAAACTGTCTGCCTAGCCCCTGGGAAGCTGGGTCGGGAGGATCACAAGTTCAAGGCCAACCTCAGATACATAGTGAGTCCATGTCTCCAAACAAGCAAAGGCACACTGGAGACTCAGCTCAACTGTAATCTCAGCACTCAGGGAGCAGAGGCCCGAGGATCAGATATTCAGGGTCATGTTTGACTTCATAGCAAGTGTGAAGCCAACTGGGCTATACGAGACCCGTCTCCATCCAAAAAGCTTTTTCCTCTGTATATTTCAGGGACTACTCTGGGAGAAGGCCTATGTTCCAAGGCAGCATATTGCGCTCAACCTTGTGCTAGTTCACGCTTAAAACCTCAGCACAGAGAGACTGCGAGGAAACCTGAGACTGTGATTACATCACACGGAGGGAGGCGAGGAGAGGCGGGGCCAGCAGTTTCTGAATTTTGAGGAATGTGGAAAGAAGCAAAAGTCCCAGCCCCATTGGGCTCAGCACCAGCACAGAGAAAATTCTTCTTACTGGGGCTTCTAAATTTATTACTTTCAGCAAATGAAGCGGTGACCCAAGACAACTCCTCCTGTTTCTCTTGCTGAGAGTCATGAATATATCAGCCAATGAGAGGCAGGCTCCAGAGCGTCAGAGACAAGCCAATGAGAAGCAGCCTCTGCAGCGTAGCCCTGGGCAGTAATAAAAGTGAGTTCTTAGGCCAAATGTGACTAGGGAACTTACTTTATCCTGCATCACCCCATGCAGGGCATGCTGACATTACAGCAGAAAGGGAAGGACGGACCGGACCGGTTAGCTAACTTCAGGACTTCAGGAACCGGGCACACTCCATGCCTTTCAGACAGGGATAAGACAGCGGGGCATGTCCTGTCCACAGAAGAAGACACAGTTGATGGTAAAAGTGTAGAGCTGAGAACAAAGGGCAGGCTGTCCAAGTGTTTCGGGTGCTGCTAACAGGTGGATCTTTTCTGTAATACTGAGTCAAGCTTGGCTTTCTGTCTAGGTGGCTTCATCCTGTAATCCCAGCTCTTTGGAGGCAGAGGCAGAAGGACTCAACGAGCTCAAGGCCAGCCTGGGCTACATGAGAAACGGCTCCGTGGGTAAAGGAGCTTCCTTCCAGGCCTGAAGACCTGAGTTTGGTCCCTGAGACCCACATGGTGAAAGGAGAGAAACAACTCCTGCAAGTTGTTCATTGACTGACTGACTCTCTCTCTCTCTCTCTTTCACACACACACACACACACACACACACACTCTCCCCTCCCAGACACACACATATACAAATATATGCACACACACCAATAGGATGTATTTTAAAAAGAGACGATAACTCTCCCAAGTAGAACACCAGAAAGTATACAGATTTCTAGTCTCAAGTGGTAAAGTAAACAAAACAAAACAACAACAAAACAAAAACCAAAAAACTAACTAGCAAGGATGATGCTCCTGGGAGGAAGAGGACGGAAGATCAGGAGTCCAAGGCTATCCTTGGCTATATAATGAGTTTGAGGCCAGCCTGGGCTACATGCACCTCTGTTTCAAAAAGAAGGAAAGCTCAAATCACCATTCTCTAACTGTGGACCCCACTGATGACTTCCCTTAAGAGGTGAGAATAGAAAGTAGACCTTGCAGACCGGCCCGCGCTGAGGACAGTACCTGAAGAGGACAGAAGAGGGCACCAGATCCCCGGGAACTGGAGTTACAGGCTGGTGGTGTTCCCGCGGCTTCTTGTCACTTCCACAGACTTAAGCTGACTGGGAGAGCCTCACGTTTTCTTCTAGATCAAACGCCGTCGCTGACTCATGAGTGGTGTTTATGAGTGGGTAGAACTATGGCTGCTGATCATGTAAACTAAACTGCTACTATCCTGACAGCACAGATTGGATTTGCCCCTTAAAAATATTCCTAGGGCTGGAGAGATGGCTCAGTAGTTAGAACTGTCCTCTCTTCCAGAGATCCTGAGTTCAATCCCCAGCAACCATATGGTGGCTCACAACCGTCGATAATGAGTTCTGATGCCCTCTGCTGGCATGCAGGTGTACATGCAGACACAATACTCACACATTAAATAAATAAAAATTAAAACTATTTCTAAACAGGTCCATATCCTCTTTTGTCCTATTAACCTTTCATTCCACTGCCTCTGGTGGGTGATGGGCTGGAAAGGAGGTTAAAGCGTGTACTTATTAAAATAGGTTTTAAAAACAATAAGCCTACAGGACTTACCAGTAAAATATTGGCTAAATATAAACATAATAATTGGAAAACAAAGTATACTGCTTTTTAAAAATCTGGAAAAGTTTAGGAGATGTGGGTGGAGAAAGGAGGTAGTTCTGGGTGTCTGATTCTCTGGGGGAACACATGGTTTTAGCTGTGGGGAGTGTACAAGAAGTGATG